AAAAATACGTTTAATCATTTAAACTTTTGTCCTACACTGACATAATTTTTCTTCCTAGATTATGCATTCATAGATCAAGGATTCGCATTATTACGCACAAATACTCGTTAATTATACATGCAAAATTTCTTTCACATCATGTATTTATATGTATATTACACATAAAATTTATAACAATAAATCTCAGAAACATCCTCAGTCGGTACTCTGCCTTTTGTTTATGATTAAAAAATGTTCATGTATAGCCGGACCATTTCAATCATACATTACTATATTTGTTTGACTGACAAGTCTCATTGTTTGATTCATTCGCACGAAAACTGTGTGTGTCTGATGCGGGTCGTCTGCAAAATGATTCGTACGTTTCGTTGTAATACGAACGCAGTAGAACCTTTTCGCTTTCTATCGTTGGATCACTGTATCATAAATTTATCGCTAATTTTCAACTCATAATGAATCTTGAAAAAATTTTAATAAACAACTAATCGCCAAAATAAATATATTTATATAAATAGTTTACGAAATAAATAGATAAGTGAGAAAAACTATTAACTTAAGAATGGAGTTTAGCGAAGCAATGGTCCTGCGACAAGACACAACTTATGTATACGATTTTTCAACATAAAAATGTTATATATTATAGCTATACCTGCGGAAAACTGTAGTGAAGAGGATATAGTCTCTAGTAAAAGCAGAATCATAACTTGTTTCAGAACATTCATTATAACGATGCTGAATATATATGTATATATATATTACTGATATCGTCACGGTTATCATTACTTTGGTTATATTGTATGTATAATTGCCATTATCCATTACCACTCTATTGTGATTATTAACATTATTGATATGGTATATTATCCGTTCTATTGATTATTGATAGTATTATTTTGTCGTCGATAATACTGTATACTATGAAAAGTGTAACGAGATAATTTTTTGGTAAATTAAAACTATTTTGTACCAAGAATAATGAAAAAAAAAACTACACTTAAATCCGTTCCATACCTAACGCGAAAAATTAATTTTTATATATAATAATGTGACGCATTGAAATCGTGCTATTATTAGATAATTGAATAAAATCAGCGCAATATTACTATTATTATGATTATTATTATTATTGNTTCTGGAATGTAATAATTGTGGAATGCATAAAATGTGTTATTTTACTGGTTGCATTTTATTCGCATTTGTATGTTCCATTTAAAAGAGTTCGAACGCAAAACCATTTATTAAAATGATTATATTACTTATAAGCAACTAAATATATTACTCATACGTGGGCGACAGATACATCTCACACATAAAAGTTATTTGCATGGCTAAATCTTTAACTTATTCAGATTATTTGATAGCTTTTACTAACACAGTTCTGGAAATACTTTAGGTAATAAACTAAAATATTTAGTCAAGGAAAATAGGACGTCACATGAATGTTTGCATTTAAGCGTGTGTGATATTATACACGATTCATTTTTGTCGATACAAATTCGTACAATTGTATGAGTAGAAAAATCTTCATTAACCTTTGTTGTATAGTACATATTTCATGCACATGGAATTTGAATAATTTTTTTTCTTGATATTTACATACACATTTTAATTTTTGGCGCGTTCTGTCAAAAATAACGTCACACATGTTATTATAATTACTTTTTTTTTTTTTTATTACGGATAATGATCGATTTTATGGATTGGCAAGTTTGAATATCAATGTAAGAATTACAATATGTCAATTATTCAAAATCTCTCGGGAATTATTTTTAACAAATTCTATTCGTGTGCAAATTAAAAGTATGTATTATTTTATTATCTTTATGAGCGTTTTTTGTATATTCTGGCTTGTTTAGATGAAATATATAAATCTTATAGATGATTGAAATAATTTAGCTTAATTTATTTTATTTATTGATTTGTAAAGATATACAAATGATAAGTTTTACTATTTTTCATATTGTAACTTAAATATTTGTTTTATAACAGAATTTATTAAAGGGGATAATTTCAGATTACTTCATTGCAAATTTATAATCTTCATGAATTTATTTACTAGTCTTCTGTTTTTGTTGTCTTTTGTACGTCGACATACATTAAAAAAAAATCATGTCACCAATGATTAGCGTTATGAGTATTCTTTCTTACCCTCATTTCCGTTCGAATGTAAGTCGAGTCCCAAATAAAGTTAAAAAAAAAGATATGCAAAATCGCTAAACATTACACCTCTACCAAAACACTGGTTTCTTAATTATCTTTCGACACACGGTGCTATTTTTAAATCTAGTGTTTACTTTATTAAGAATGGATTTTTTTTTATTACAAAGATACAGCAACGTTCGATTGCTCACTCGCTCTCAATTTTTCTGTCTACTTATGTACTGTTATGAATCTAAATTTTTTTAACAAGTAATTAAATGACGCGATTAGTTTTTTATCGACAGCATACAAACACATTTCGGAGCTACAANATTATTATTTTGTTTATTTATTTATTTTTTGTTTTGTTTCTTTCTTTTTTTGTGGATTTATCTCGAGTTGGCTGCACAGAAGAGAAAAAGAGCGGAAATGTATGATTACCGCTATTCCGCCGTCGCTTCTCCTACGCAAAAAAAGTCGAAGGTAGTTCGCACGCGACCCTCGTCATCTGCATGCACGTCGGCACAAACGTTGTCTGTTTCGATTATTTCTCACTTTTATTATTAACAAACACCAGTACGCTCTCTTTTTTAAAGTTATAGTAACGCGGACGATACATACTTCAACATGAGATATATATTTGAGTTTCGTTTTTAAAGCACTTAAGGGAAAAAACCACGCGATCCCGATTCGAAATATTCATTATCTGCTGAGACTTATCGTTTCTTTGTCGTATTTCTTAATTTTATTTTCTTTCATTGTACCACTCATTTCTTCTATTCATTGAGAGATTAGCGTTTCTTAAAGAAAAAAATGTGATTTACGCCATTGATTTTTGTCACATATTTTTAAAGAGCAATTAGTAATTGATAGTCTATGGAGATTAAAAAAAATACAGCGAACAGTTAAGCTCTAGTATTTTTGATTAGTGTTTAATTATAACTACTTATGAATTTCGTGTATCAATTTATTTTATGAGTAAGAAGTTATGTTGTTTTTAATTCATTTAGTCGATTATCCCATGTAAACGTTCTTTTGATATAGCCCATGGGCGCGTTGTAACATGAAAATATTCTTATAATCGTGACTCGAGTTGTTTTTTTCATACATATTTTTTATTATTATTATTCAAACACTCCTTACACATTGGCAGTTATGTAATGTATGTAAATTTATTTAATAACAATTGTGTGTTTCCGTTTGGCGTGACATTATTTTTTGTACCAGATAAAACAAGAAAAACTGTATTTAAAATTTTCAAAACATAACTTTTTATATTTATACATGTATATGTGTACAAATTTTTCATTTGAATATACTATAATAGTAATCTTAAACGGTTCAAAATGAATACGCCAATTTCATCTGATCAACAAATTCATATACACGCATGATGGTATTAAATATAAATGACATCAATGCATATAAACAATCTTGATCATGTATTGCAACAAACCTTTAAATATTTTGGGATGGTAAAAAAAATACATCACAACGTGAAAACAAGTAAACAAATTATATGTGTACATGTACACACAATCACTACTACTCCCAGAATAGTATCTTTTATCATCCTTTTTCTGCCGCTTAATCACTATAATAATCATTGAAACGTCACACCGATGAAGCTGTTATTTTTTAATGATATTCAGTAAACGTAATAATAAAATCGGTGTCTGATAATCGGTAACATACAGATTTGTTCTTGTAAGAAAGCCGAGAATCATAGTTTAAAAAAACATTACCTTTATTATTGTTACATTCGTGTTAGTTTCTCTTTATTCCGTTTACCACATTCTCAGTGCCGTATAAAGTTTGAATGTGACTTTACTTGGTACTCCGATACTGCTAAACAGCTTTCTAAGACTACCTTCTAAAACTTGTTACGTACTCGTTGATGGGATGTATTTTTGTTTAATATGTTATACTTTTTAATTGTATCTCAGACTTTCCTCGTGCCGAGTCCTACTTGAGCGCAATTTTTAGAATGATAATAACGCGCCGTGTGCTTTTGGTACGAGATGGGCATTTTAAAAATTTTATTATTTATTTATTTATTTATTTTTTTTTTTTACTACAATCTATTAAAGTGGTTCTACAGGAACTCTCTAGTCAATTGAGGAAACGAAAAAAATTATTTCGTAAACACTTCAAAATGAGAGTAAAATACGTCTTAAAAAGAGTTTTGTGAATTATAATTTAGTTTACTATCATATTAT